GCGCTCCGGCGCCCCTCCCAGTCGCGGCAGCTGTCGAGGTCGCGCCGCCACTGCTCGCAGGCCGGCCGCTCCCCGTGGACGTAGTAGTGGTGCAGGAAGTGCCCGGCGCTGCGGCACAGCTTCCACTCGGCGCGGTAGGCCTCGCAGGGGCGCGGCGGCCGCCAGCCACCGCCTTCTGCCATGTCCAGGCGACCGCCTAACCCGCCTCCTCAGTCCGCCACCCAATGAAGACTGAAGCCTCCTTTTTTTTTTGATCAGCTGGTCAGTACAGATTCCCTCCTTTTATGACTCTGTGCCAGGCACTTGTAGGAAATACCAAGAAAAATGATTGCTCCAAACAGCTTATAGGTGCTAGGATGAGGGTAAGCACAGAATATTATGGGAGGTCAGTAGGGGTCCCTAACCCAGCTGGGGGGTGAGGGGCTGCAAGCTGGGGATGTGTAAGGAAAGCTTCCAGGAGGAGCTGATGGATGACCCCAGAGCTGAGTCTTAAGGGATAGCGATCTCTCCCCTCAGGGCCATTAGCAGCGGCTGGAGATCACACGATTTCCCAGGTGTGTGTGACTGCCAGGACAGCCACCTGGTTGTAGGGCAGCTGCTCCTCCTGCCCATTTTCCTCAGGGAGTTTTCCTGGGTCGTGATGACCTAAGCAGGGTTTGTTCAGAATCCTGTGTTGTCAGTGGTCCCCAGTAGCCATCCCAATCAACACATCATCCCATCACTGGCAGAAGGAAGCACCTGCCAATTCTAATTGTCCCATAGAGGAAGCCTTGGTGGCCCAGTTCTGTGAGCCCCCACCCCCAGGCACCTGAATCAGAACTCACCATGCTCTGCTTGAGGAGACCCACGGTGTTCGAATGGATTAAACTGTCCAAACCAAACCAACCCTTCCTGGTGGCCCCAGCCCATCTCCTCTTCCTTGTCTACAAGCAGCGAGGGCAGTCTTGATTTAGGGGCTGGAAATAGCAACATCAGGGTGAGGTTTGTGGCACTTAAGACAGCTGGGCTGCTCCCACACCTCATGTGACTCATTTCCTCTGTGTAGACAGTCACTTAGGGTGGCACAGCCAGATTCCTTGCCTCCATTTTTCCATGATTAGGCACAGAAAGCAGGGAGGGCTTGAAGTAGTGAAAAAAAGGAACGAGAACCCGTTCCCACAGTGCACTGGCCCCAGACCACCTCCCTCTTCCCCCAGCCAGTGAAAAACCTCAGACTCAGAAGGGAGGGGGCAGGGCCTGGCTACCTGGGGTCCCGGGGGCCTGATCAGAAGCAGGGAGAGAGACAGAGGTGTCCAGGGAGGATGTCAACATCCTTCTTGCCATACCTCCCTCACCTGCAGCCCTATGAGCAGGGCCAAAAAACTATGCACTGGGACAACTGGATATCCACGTGCACAGGATAAAGTGGCACTTCTTCCTTAACTCACCTTCAACAAAGGTTAACTCAGCATGATCACAGACCTGAACGTAAGAGCTAAAACCATAAAGCTCTTCACAAAGCAGAAAACATAGGAGTAAATCTCTGTGACATTGGCTTAGGCAATGATTTCTTAAATACAACACCAGAAACAGATGGAAGAGAAAAATAGATAAATTTTTATCTATTCATCAAAATTTAAAGCTTTTATGCTTCAGGCGTACTGTCAAGAAAGTGAAAAGACAACCCACAGAATGAGAGAAATTATTTGCAAATCATACATCTGATAAGTGTCTAGTTTCCAGAATATATAAAGAACACAAACAACTTGTATTAGTTTGCTAGGGCAGTAGTAACAAAGTACCACAAACTGGGTGGCTTAAAACAACACACATTTTGGGCCGGCCCAGTGGCGCACTGGATAGTGCGCCGCTTGGGAAGCGCGGCGGCGCTCCCGTCCGAGGGTTCGGATCCCACATACAGACCGGCTCCCGCTCACTGGCTGAGCGAGGCGCGGGAGCAACACCGAGGTTTGCGATCCTGTTGCCGGTCCCCGGTCCGGTACGGGGGCAACACTGAGGGTTGCAATCCGTTGCCGGACACGGAAAAAGACAAAAAGACAAAAAAACAAACAAACAAACAAAAAAAAAAACAAAAAACACACATTTATTCTCTGATAGTTTTGGAGGCTGGCAATCCGAAATCTAGAAGTCAGGAGGGTTGGTTCCTTCTGGAGATTCTAAGGAAGAATCTGTTCCACATCTTTCTCTTAGCATCTAGTATTGCCAGCAATGTTGACGTTCCTTGGCTTGTGGACATATTACTCCAGTTCCCGCCTCCATTGTCACAGGGTGTTCTCCACTGCGTCTCTCTATTCACTTGCCATTCTCCTTTCTGTGAGCGTCATTCTCTTCTCCTGGGGACAGCATTCATACTGGATGAAGGGCCTACCCTACTCCAATATGACCTCACTTTCTTTTTTTTTTTTTGGCAGCTGTCTGGTACAGGGATCGAACCCCAGACCTTGGTGTTATCAGCACCACACTCTAGCAACTGAGCTAATTGGCCACCCCCTTAACTACATCTGCAAGGACTGTATTTTCAAATAAGGTCACATTCTGAGGTACTAGGGGTTAGGATTTGAACATGTCTTTTTTTTTTTTTTTTTTTTTTTTTTTTTTC